CCACATGGGTGGATCTGAAAGCACTATGCTGAGTGAAAGAAGAGACATTCTGCAAAAGGCAAAACTATAGAGAAGGAAATCACAAAAGTGGTTGCCAAGACCTGGGACTAGGGGAAGGTGACTACAAAAGGGCAGCACCAGGGGGTTTTCTGGAATGACGGAATGCACATTGGGTTATTGGGTAGTGACAGGATGGTGCACGTTCATCAAACACAGACAGAATGATACAACTGTAATAAAACAGGGGACTTTACTGTATGTAAGTTACACCTTGAGAACCTGACTTTAAAAAGAAAAAGCCTCCGGGTTCTACTCCCTCCCCCTCTCCTTCCCTCACCTCTGGTCTGTATTTCTAATTCTAGGGGAAAATGCAAATATTTTACTGGCTATGGAGAGTCCTTGACTTTTTGAATAGAGAAATGGTATAATGAATTGGTATTTTTTAGCAAATTAATAAACCAGAGCTTTAATATGGATAGAAATGAGGGAGGGAGAAGAAACTGGCCTAAGGAGAATGTGAAGGTAGTGTAATGTGACCAGGTCCTCAACCCGGTGCTCTTTGAAAGGATGGATTCATTTCATTTCTTCAAAACATGTATGGAGCGCCTACTCTGCTAGGCACCAGGCATGCAACAATGCCATCTAGTGAGGCTGTGGGGATAAGCTGGCAGAGGAGATAGGAATAAACAGTGACTGCAGATTGGATGTGAGTGCTGAAGCAAATTGACAGGTGCACTGACTAGGGGAGGGCAGCAGGTGTGGGCTGAGGGGGTCCAATATACAGAGCAGGGTAGTTGGCAGATTTGCTGAGAACTAAAGATGAGGCATTGTTGGAGAAAAGGAGGGAGGAGAGTGTGATGGCAGAGAGAATGGCGTTTGAGGCCTGTGTGTTCAGGGCGCTGCAGTTGAACATGGCTGGATGGAGCATGAGTATGAGCCTGGAATGGAAGGACCTCAGGGCCCTGGGGAGGGTCCCGAGAGAAGGGGAGCCACCACAGGGTTTCTTGCAGGGAGTGACATGATCAGATCTGTGATTTAGGGGTGAGCTGGCTGCAAAATGGAACAGGGTTGGAGGGGGGCACAGGGACGCCTGTTAGGACAATGTTGTAGACATCCAGGTGACAGAAGGTAATGGCCAAAGGGGATGGAAAGAAGTGGAGAGGCTTGAAGGCTACTTAGTAGGTAGAACTGTTAAGATGTAGTGATTGAATGTTGGGACAGAAGGAGAGGAAAAAGCCAAAGATGGTGCCTTAGTGTCTGGCTTGGGTGATGCCATCCACTGAGTGGGAGCAGGTTTGAGAGAAGAGATTAGGACGTGTTAAGTGTGAGGTACCCGTGGGACATCCAAGTAGAGAATCCAGAAGGCAGTTGGATATATGGGTCTGGAGTTCAGAGGAGCAAATGTGAATGGGACTGCCTCAGTGTCTGGGGAGAAGGCACAGCTCGTGACTATTAGCTTTGCTCAGAGTGGAAACCCGGAAAGTGAATATAGGACAGAATGCAGTTAATGGATAACTTAGATAGTGATCATAAAGCTTGTGAAACAATAGCTGCAGGAATCTGGAGAGTCCAGAAGTTGTAAATTTAATTCTGACCACAGACCAGTTGTAGAACCGGTTACTGTTCAGAAGAGAATTCACCCTCCCCAAACTTCCATCCAAATCTCCTATAAAACCCATCAATCTCCCCTTCCTGGCGTGGACACTCTTTTGGCCTCCACCCACCTGCACGCAGATGCTTGCTCAAATAAACAGCATTTTGCTACACCTGAGGCTTCGTGTGTCTCCCTCTCAGCTCTGGACCTAACAGTGACCGGCTCAGAAACCTGAGCCACGGCATTTAACAGAGAAAAAAAGGACCCACAGATGAGATTCAGAAAGAGGAGCTAGAGAGCTAGGAGAAAAAATAAAGGCATGGAAAGAGAGGAACAGGCAACGTTTTTTTGGTGGTGTTGAGAGGTCAAGTAAGACAAGGGGAAGGACCAATTAGATTTAGCATCTAGGAGGTGGTGATCTTGGTGACAAGAGTTCCAATGGAGAGACAGAGGCGGAAGCCAGAAAGGAGAGCAAGTAGGAGGTAAATAGTCAGCAGCCAAGCCCAATTCCTAAACGGTACAGATCGCAAACTCTCACTTGACAACATAGTCCTGACTGTTCAAAGGCTTCAACATAAAAAGCAAAGCAATTGAAGCACTGGGGGAAAATATGGGAAATTAAAACAAACAAGCCAACTTCAGGGTGGGTGAGACTTTTCCTAGTATGATAAAAAACAGAAGCCATAACAGAAAAGACTGATATATTTGGCTACCTGAATTTTTTTTCTAAGCTGTTACAAAACATGTATAAATGAAAATAAGAACCAAAATATGAACTACAAAAATATTTGAACTCATATTTTGGATGAGGATTAGTTTTTTTTAATATAAGAAGAGTTTTATAAATCAATAAGAAAAATTAACAACCCAATAGAATAATGAAGCAAAGAATATGAACACAGTTAATAGAGAAGAAAACACAAATGGCTCTTAAATGTAACAATAGACATCCAACCTCCTTTATCATAAGAAAAATGAAAATGTAAACAACATGATTTTTTTCACCTATTAGATGGATATATATTGAAAAGTTTGATAACGCTTTGTTGTCTGAAAGTTGTTGAGAAACAGGCACTCTTATACGGGCTGATGAAAGTGTACATTTGGACAACTTTTATGGAGGACAATTTGGCAATACTTGTGAAACATTACACATGCTTATACTCTGACTCAACAATTCTGCTTCTTGGAATTTAACCTACATATTTACTTGCATTGTATAAAATGATGTATTTCCAAGTTTATTCACTGTAGCTGTTTGTAACAGCAAAAATCAAAACCATCCTAATGTCCAATGTAGAGGTTGAAAAGGTATGATACCTTTTCTTACCTAAGAGTCACAGCCAACATTACTATGACAAAAGACAAGTTAACAAGATAAAAGGATTAAAAATTCATTTAATGAAAGTTTTACATGACCAGGGAACCCTCAGAAATAAAGACCTGAAGACCGCCGGGCGCGGTGGCTCACGCCTGTAATCCTAACACTCTGGGAGGCTGAGGTGGGCGGATTGCTCGAGGTCAGGAGTTCGAAACCAGCCTGAGCAAGAGCAAGACCCCGTCTCTACTATAAATAGAAAGAAATTAATTGGCCAACTAATATATATAGAAACAATTAGCTGGGCATGGTGGTGCATGCCTGTAGTCCCAGCTACTCGGGAGGCTGAGGCAGAAGGATTGCTTGAGCCCAGGAGTTTGAGGTTGCTGTGAGCTAGGCTGACGCCATGGCACTCACTCTAGCCTGGTCAACAAGTGAGACTCTGTCTCAAAAAAAAAAAAAAAAGACCTAGGGAAAATTGTCTGTTTTTATATTTAGATTTGATGAAGAATGGACAATAGTGTAGAAATGTGATTGGATAAAAGGAGGATGAACTCAGACTGAGAGGGGACCCAGAAAGGCCTATCTGTTCAGATTCTTCTTGGCCTCTCTGTGTAGCATTCCTTTCTCTGGGGTATATGACAGGATCCTTCTGGAATGAGAGTCTTATGACCTACCACCAGACAAGGTAGATCAGAAAATTTCATTACAGCTAGCTTCTATGCAGAGAGGTGGGGGAAGGTTAGAGTAATATTTCTAGGTTTTTCTAGAGTAATATTTCTGGCTTACTTTGGGGGAGAGGGGTTCTAGTTTCTGTGACTTGCCTCAGAGAAGAGGAATTCTGGTTTCTATGATTTGATTTAGGGGAGAAAGAGGTTTGGGAGACAGAAGGGCAGAAGGTTGGAGAGAGACTTTGCTTCTGATGCCTCTTCTGAGTCCTTCCTGTCACCTTTAGTTCAAAGTATTCAGCATTTCAAAGAGTCATACTTTGGGGTATCGTTTTCTGAGCCCCAACATCAACAATATGGGCCAATGATAAATTAAATTATGACTATCCTTACCAATGCTATGGTCCTGTAGGAAGGCGAGGAGGTGCTGGAGTTCCATGAAAGCACAGATGTAAATGTATGATAGTTACCAGCTAAGGGACAAAGGTTGAAGTGAGATACAATCAGTTTATCTAAGACGAGTTTCTGGACGTTGTTCCTCTAGGACAAGGACTACATTTTATTCATCTCTGTAGGCCTATGATCACATTAGCACACCAAGAAGACTGATAAAATAATGTATATATTGGAAAGAGCTGGAGGAACCAGACAGGGAAACCCAGGAAAGGTGAATCAGAAAGAGAAAGACAAAATGATGTGGTGACATGGCTCTAAGCCTGGCACAGCACAGGAATGGAACACTCCTGGACCACAACGGGATTGTCGAACTCTTGATTCAACCCTGGAATTGCCCTTCCACTGAAGGGCAATTTCCTGTGATGTAGGAAAAGAAACCCTCAGTTTCCTCATCGGAAAGTGGAAGGGGATGTCAATATGCTACTTCTATTAAAAAAAAAAAAAAAAGGAAAATGGAAGACGTTGGTTTTCCCACCGAAGGTCTCCCTCCAGGCCAGACGCCCACACTCAGCCCACAGTTTCCGCGTCGGTAGTCTAGGAGACGGGCGCCACTTCCGGCAGAACGGCCACTTCCACTGAGGCCCCGCCCCTTCCCTGCGGACGGGCGCTGATTGGCCTGTTTGAAATGCGCCGCGCGCGAGCTCACCTGGGCTCGCAGCGGCTCAGCCCGGCTTTCCGGAGTGCGGCGCCTGGGCCGCGGAGTGCCTGTTCCCGCGGCTTGTTCCTGCGGCCCGCCGCCTTCGCCAGCCTGCCGGATCGAGTTCGGCGTCCTGCGCGCGCGTCTGGGCAGCGCGGAGCCCGCTACCATGAAGCCAGCGTGAGTACGGGGCCGCCGAGCAGGGAGGGCGGGCGGGGACGGAGGCCGGGGCCGCGGGGCTGAGGGCCGGCGTCTCTCCTCACGCCGTCCGCACCCGGCCCCGGGCCGCCCCGGCCCGCAGAGAGAACCCTGCACGTGAGGCCGCCGGGAAACCCCAGCCGCGTCTCCGCCCCAGCCTGGCCCCTGCGGCCGGGAGGGGTCGGCCTGAAGCCGGGGGGTTTGTGCTGCGTGCGACCTGGTTCCCGTTAACTGGGTTGTCATCTTCCCGACTCCAGGGCAGCTTCCCTTATTCCTGTCTCAGGTTCCCCTTCTCCCTCCCCGGCCTCCCGCGCTCTCCGATTGCATTTTTCAGAGTTATTGCGGGTGAGGAGGCGACTGTGGTCCGGGGTCGTCTCGGGGGGTGGGGTGGGGAGGCCGAGTGTTGTGTTCTGGGGGTTGGGGGCTGGTTAGGTGGTCCGGGTCCCTGGAGAGCCGTGGCACTGGGCAGCACGGCGTGCTCTTCTCGGCCCAGTACCCTGGCCTGGAGGCCGAGACCATCACCTTATATAGGCCAGTTACTTTTGTTGTATTCTTTGGCTGCAGACTACCCCACCCCCATACACAAATGCACACACCCACATTCCTCACTGAGTTGGTGACAGAACATTTTGGGCACAGCATTCCTAGGTAAAGAAGTACTTGTGCAAAGAAAAGGGTTAACTTTACAGTTATTGCCATTTGGGTAATCGTTTGCAAAAGTCAATTTGTTTTATTAAGAGGCCAAAGTCAAAATCTTTATATTAAAAAAAAAATACGTTGAGTTTAAGTAAACCTACCACAATCGTATTTTGCATTTAAGACTAATTTGCTTCTGTCTCACCTGGGAATAGGTTGACAAAAATAATCTACAGTCCAAGCCAATAATTTCACTTAATTTTTGATGCGTCAAATGTTCATCTAGCCTGTAGATGTGAAGAACAAAAGGTTGTATGCTAGAGAAATGATGATTATCAGTCAAAATACCCTGCTTAAGAGAGCAAGAAATTGGCAATTTGAGACCACATTTTGTTTGGGGACAAAGGGTTATAGTTTTGAACATTCATTGGCTGTTTGTTTCTTGAAAGTATAGGCATAAATTTTAATGAAAGGATGGATTCTTCCATGTGTATTTTTGTAGTTTATTTATGTTAATTGATTGTTAATCTGTCTTGATAATGACTGTTAACACAATGTTTGTGCTTGTACACATCTGTAAATGTCTTTAAAAATAAGTGTAGGCAATTATTTGCAAATTTTTCTAATTTTTAGTGCTTCTGTAAAATTGTTCAAGAAAATGTGTAAGTTATTTTAAATATAGAACTAATCAAAGAGTAACTTGGTACATTTGGTACCAAAAAGGTATTCTAAACCAAATTTAATTTAATTTGGATTTAATTACTTTTGGATTACACATGCCACAAACACTCTGCTACTAATGCAATTTATTATTATTTATGTTATTTGCAGTATTTTGGAACTGCTAAGGAATAATTTTACAAACCCTGGGAAAGTTGTCTATATAAGTTATAGGTAAGGTTTTTGTGTTAGTGTGGAACTAATTTTTTTTTTTTTAAACCTGTGACCAGGAGGGCTAAGACACCCAGGAAACCTGTAGTGAAAAAAGGATCCCAAACGAATCTTAAAGACCCAGTTGGGGTAAGATCTCCCTGTGGATTTATGTGTATATATTCTTTCTCCAGTACTTTCTGTCTTATGTATATGCTTGAAATAGAATGAAGAAGAGATGCTGAAGTGCAAAGAACATTTAAGTGGATTTACTAAATTATGTAAAACTGGTTCTGGCTGTGAAATTTTGGTTTTTCTATAGGATCAGTGAGTCCTGTAAAATGAAGTCTTTGGTTGACTGCATTCCTTCTATAATTATAATTTGAAAAGTTAGATAATTAAAAATCTTCAACTTAATTCATGCTCTCTGTCATGGGGGACATTTTCTGCTCATATAAGCATTCTTTCCTGCCTGTGTACAGTAACTGATGACATGCCTCACCAGGGGAGCCTTCTGGGGACCAAGTTTCATAAAGACTGTGGTATACAATAGCTTAATTCAGTCTAATGCCTACTCATAATTGCAAATACTTCACTAGTTTCTGCCTTGGGAACTTGCTTTTAAAATTGAATGGCAAATAAAAGAGGGGTGCTTTGCTCTGAGGCATTTTAAATCTCATTGCCACTGGAGTCCAGGTCTGACTCAATGCAATCAGGTCCTTTGCATACAGCCAGAATGGGTTTTCCCCTCAAACCTTCCCCTACCCTTTTCTTTTTACTTGTTTGTTACATTAAGCTGGCAAGTTTTATTATAAATTGACATGTAATTCCAAAGAATTCTAACTTTTAAAAATCTCATTGTGTGGTACATTGTTGGCTTTTAGAGATTTTTAGTATTAATACTATAACTTTATTATTTGTATAATATAATCAGTACTTTATGCTATTGCAATATAATAGGGAAGACAAGTTGTGCAATTTGATTGTTTTGTTGTCAAAGTTTAATTTTATGTGTATTTTAAATCTTCTCATGTCTAATATGTCTGTTTGCATTTGTCAATCTCAAGTAGCAGATTTTGGTTTTCATAGCTCTAGCTTTTTCTCTTGAGTCGAGAGACCAAATGTTTGTGGAATGGATGAATGGAAGCAATCAGGCAAAATGTCAATCTTTGTTCTTTACATGCCTTCCTGTTTTTTCAGGTATACTGTAGGGTGCGCCCACTGAGCTTTCCCGATCAAGAGTGTTGCATAGAAGTGATCAATAATACAACTGTTCAGCTTCATACTCCTGAGGGCTACAGGCTCAACCGAAATGGAGACTATAAGGAGGTAATTCCTATTGGAACCAAGTTGTTTTTACTTGGTATATTGTTTCTTCAATGGCTTTTACACTTTTAAATTTAAGAAATTTCATGTGTGATCTCACTTTTTTGAATGACTTATTTACTTCACTCTAACCACTATATCTAAAGTGTTTTTAATTTCTGGGATATACAGACACATCTTTGGTACACTGGAGTAGAGGATTGCTTTTAGGGGATAATTTCTTACATTGTGTATATTGTTTCTTAGAGCACATGTTAGGGATAGTTTAATGTGTAATGATATGATTGTGCTAAGCAGTTTTTTATATACACACAGTTTTATATGTGGAGATTAAGATAACTAATAATAGGCATTTATACTTGTATCAACCTCTTATGAAGTGTTTTTATTTTTAGGAAAATATTGAGCAACTGAGTTCAATTCAATTTAGCTAATGTTTCACTAAGCTAGTGGGCTGGAGGATGGAAGGAGATTTAAAAAACTTGAGTAAGACATGTCCTTGCCTTTATGTAGTTTACAACTTACTTAAGAGAATAATCAATAACAAGTAAACAAGTAACTCTCATATAGATGAGACAAAGTCAGGTGTGTTAAAGAGGGGAAACGGTGGGAGTGCAGAAGGAAGAGGATGCATTCAGGATGTCATTTCTATGTCTAGCTGTCATTAACTCTTGTACCTCTATTCCAGTGCAATTGCTTTTCAGAAGACCATGAGTAGCCTCTTTGCTGTTAAATTTGATGAATACCTCTTTGTCCTCATTATAGTCTATTTCTCCTTCCTGAAGTACTCTCCTGTCTCCCCTTCCAGCTGTCTCTGTTCTTTTCACTCTTTACTCACTGGCCACCTTTGCTGGCTCTTTCTTTTCCAACCTGGAAATATAGAATTGGGCTATGCCCAGGGCTCTATGCTCTGTCTACACTTTTCACATGGCTTTAAATGTCCATTATATGGTAAAAGCTTTGGAATTTTTATCTCCAGCTTAAACCTTTTCTCAAGCTCTAAACTCAAACATCCAACCGCTTGTTATCTCTGTTTGGATGTCATATAGGCATCTCAAATTTTACATGTCCAAAAAGGAGTACTTGATTCTTTTCTCTTTAAATCACTTCCTCCCTTCTCAAGTAATGACACCATCATCTGTGTCAGTTACTCAAGCCAGAAACCTGGTGTTTACCTTTTACTTGCCCCACCTCATATCTAGTTTATTAGAAAATCCTATCAGTTCTACTCCAAAGTACGTCTTGAAACTGTCCTTTCATTTCCATTTCCACTGCCACTACCCTATTCTGAGCCCCATTGTTAATCACTGAGACCAGTGCTTCTCCAACTATCTCTAGTGAAGGAATAAATATCTTTTTTATTTTCTATGTATTGCAATTGGTACATTTGTACAGTTTGTGCTAGATGGAACTACCCACATGCATTAGACAACAGAGAACTGGTTTATAATCTGTACAGAGAGATGAGCCATTGAACACTGTTCTGTGACATTGCAGCAATGCCAAATGGCTAAAAAAGTTTCTCAACATTTGAGTAGTCTGGTAATGAACAGTTCTCAGACAGGCATTGGTTTGCTGACTGTGTTTTGAGTAGCATTGACAAGATTGCCAATCCCTAACTGGACTGCCTGCTTCTACTCAGAATCTTCCTCTCTAATCCATTTTCTGCAGAGCTTCCAGAGTGATCTTTTAAAGTATAAATGAGATCTCACCATATTCCTATTTGAAACCTTTTGAGGAATAAAATATTTAAATGGACAAAATCCTGCTTAATCAGCTTCCTATGTCTCCACCCTCATCTTTTAGTATTCATCTAATTCTTTGAGTTCCTTGGATAAGCCGGAGTCCTGCCTGGCAGCCAATGCCTTTGCCTGGAATTCTCTTTCCCTAGGGCTTAGCATGGTTGGCTCCTCATCCTTGGGTTTCAGTTTCAATTTCACCTTCTTAGGGTATCCAGACTACCCCATCAGAAATAGCAACCCATCCCTCCTTTCCCTTGCTCTGCATTCTGTGTGCCTCCTTCACAGTACTTAACACAGTCTATTTACTTGTTTATTGTCTGTTTCCTCCATATAATGTAAACTCCTAAGAGATATGTGCCTTATATGTCCTGTTCATCAAACCCTGAATAAATATGGATTGAGCATGAATGAATGGGCTGGGAAGGCTTTATGGAAGAGCAGGTCTTTGAGGATGTAATATAATTTTACTTATTTATTGAAGTAAATTTCAAATATGTATAACGGTTTCAAAGTAGATATAAACAAAAGGTTTGATGGGGATTACAAATTCTTAGTCCTTTTGGCAGAAGGCAGCACTGTTTAATGGAAAGAACAGTGTCCTGGAGAGGGCTTTGATACTCATTAGCTGCATGGGCTTGGACAGGTTCTTCCTTGGCCCCAGTTTTTACTTTGAGAAGAGGGAACCTTTCATGAGGAACTGAAGTCATCTATCTTACCTCTCAGTATTGTCCTGTGTAAATCCTTTTAGTTCCAAGATTCTTGTTCTTTTGTGAACTCTAAAGCTGTTTTATAGGATTGGTATGAGAACTTCCACAATGGTGAGAGTAGCATAGCTGAAGTAGGTGTTTGGTATTTGATAAATTATTTAAACTCTGTTTTCTCATTTATAAAATGAGCATAACTATTAGTACCTACATCAGAGGTCTTAAGAACAAAATGGTTTACTGCATAGACAGTGCCTATCGTCAGCTGTCATTATTATTTTGATTATTGTGTGTTTGAGTATTAATCTATACATGTCTCCTTTTGAGGAATGATACTGCTAATCTTAAAAACATTAAGTGTCATGATACTAATATCTGAGCAGGTAGAATTTAAGGTAAAGACTGTAGAACAGGAAAAAGGACATTTGACAAAGGCTATAATAAATAATAAATAATAAATTCTAATGAATATTCATGCTGCACTAAATAATTTAGCATTGAAATTCAAGAAACAAAAACTACAAGAAATTCAGGAAGTCCTCAGAAATAATTATAATGTCTGCAAGCCAATAAAACTAGCATATTAACAAAAATAGAAATAATAGAACTCTAGCCCCTGGATAGTTAAAATATTTTAATTTACATTTATATATTCCAATCTAATTTTTCAAGGAGTTTGATAGTATTTTTGGTAATATGACTATACCTTATAATAATTGTATTTTGAAAGAAATTTGATAATTGAAGAATTCTTGCTTTCTAAAGGTCACAGTTTAAAATTTATTTCATATAAGAACTCGAGATGAGAATTCATTTACAGTTCATTTCTGGTTTTAAAATGCAGTACATCAAAACATGTATTATGCTGATATGCCATGTTAAATGACACCTTTATAAAGAAAAAATAGAAAATAGTCAATTATCATATGAAGTAATGCTTGCAGATTTTCACAATTCTATGACTATGAATTGTTATAATACATTTTGATGTTCTTTGTCACTTAATTAAAACAAAATCAGCCTTAGTCTATGAAGCATTAGTGGGCTTAAGGCTTTTCTACATTCTCTTTGGTAGTTGTGACTAAAAATATTTACCAATTTATAAGTCATGTAATTTAGGTATGTCATGACTTTTTAGCGGGTTAGTAAGAAACCAGAAGTTCCAACTGTAAAGACCATTCATATTTCTTCATTGCATGTCTAGATCTTAAATGTTCATAGCCTTTCCCCAGTTAGCTCAGTCAGTAGAACATGAGACTCTTAAATGTTCGTAAAGAAGCATCTTAAGTTTAAGCAGATGTATTTCTAGCTTAGACATAGTAGAATTCCATTTAAGTGTGTTTTATTTTTTTCTCTCTCCACAGACTCAGTATTCATTTAAACAAGTATTTGGCACTCATACTACCCAGAAAGAGCTCTTTGATGTTGTGGCTAATCCCTTGGTAGATGACCTCATTCATGGCAAAAATGGTATGATTCTTGGAGTTTTGTTGGATTTGCCATATTCTCCTCTTTAGATAAAACTTTTTTGATATTTGTATGTTTGGTTTATATTAGGCATTTACGCATATTTAATTTGTTATAGTGATGTTAAACCTGCTTTTTGTAAGCTGGCTAATTTTTAGTATTTTTTAATGCAATGAAATATTACAAGTGGAGGGCTTTTAAGATGTAACTCATTGTGACTTGCTATCCTGTAGGTCTTCTTTTTACATATGGTGTGACGGGGAGTGGTAAAACTCACACAATGACCGGTTCTCCAGGGGAAGGAGGGCTGCTTCCTCGTTGTTTGGACATGATCTTTAACAGTATAGGATCATTTCAAGCTAAGCGATATGTAAGTATAATTGTTTTGTGTTGTGAGTATTTCACTGTGGACACAGGACTAAGATGCCTATGGATACTGTAGTATTAAGGAAGAACCAAAGCATTGGATTCATTTTGAAACCTTAAATATGTTTAAATATTAAATGTTTCTTATTTCTTAAACATGTTTCCTAGTTTTTAGGTCAAATTCTGAAAACCATGGTCTGATTTTTGCTCCCACTTCAGGTTTTTAAATCTAATGATAGGAACAGTATGGATATCCAGTGTGAGGTTGATGCCTTACTAGAACGTCAGAAAAGAGAAGCCCTGCCCATTCCAAAGACCCCCTCTAGCAAGTAAGTAATCACATTTGTATGCAATACCAGCCTAGGGACACGGTGTCTTGTGGTTTGCTCAGGCATAGGGAACATTAAGTAGAGAAGTTGGTCTGACAGTTGTGTTTTGTGAGATTAAAGCTGAGGAATGTTCTTCAGTTATTTGCTCAGATGTTTTCTTTGGTTTTGAGTACACTGTGTTTGAATTACTCTTTTGAGAAGGAAGGTGCCACTCTGGGTAAGGAGTGAGTATAAAAGCCTTTGTTTTGCATCCAGGAGGAGATGGAAATACTGTTGTCAATTGAGTATGAATAAAGTTGCATTGTTTTTCTACTTGTAATAGTGTATCATGTATGTTATATCTTTTAGTTTCCCCTTGGGATAATTTTTGATATTTACTCACAATGTATAACATGAGACTATTTTGTTTTTTTTTCTTTTAGACGACAAATAGATCCAGAGTTTGCAGATATGATAACTGTACAAGAATTCTGCAAAGCAGAAGAGGTTGATGAAGATAGTGTCTATGGTGTATTTGTCTCTTATATTGAAATATATAATAATTATATATATGATCTATTGGAAGAGGTGCCATTTGATCCCATAAAGCCCAAGTAAGTGGTGAAGAGAGCCCCTTCTTAGCTGTTAACCTTGGGAAATGCACTTTGCCTCAGTGAACCTTCGTTTCTTCAGCTATAAATGGGAATAATTCTATGCTTGTTTTCAAAATGAAATGTTATGACTTGTATATCAAGTAGTTGGTGCTCAATGAGGGAACAAGTGGGTTAAGGCATCTAAGGAGAATAGTGACCCGAATATTCATCTTAGAGATGACTTTTGAAAACTCTTGGCTCAGAGTTGTGTTTTGACAATGCCCTTAATTATGTTAGGAAGTTTCCCTGTCGATATGCTCCAAAACTACTTATCCAGAACCTGAGACTCAGTGTGGGAAGTTTTGTGGCCTCTTTAACCACCTGTATCTTGGTGATCTCTACAGAATGGAGCCTGAAGCTGTAGTCTTTACAAATAATACAGACATTTCATCATTGATTAACAGGAAGTGACATCTGCATTGCCATTCTGCCAGAATTAAAAGAGTACTTAGATGTCCTTGGGTCTTGCCTTTCCAAAACTGAAGACCAGTCACTGCCTGGCATCACAAAAGATAAATCTACATTTGTGCCAGATTATACTCTAGAATCTTATGTCTAAAATTAGTATCTTGTTTCCGAGTTGATGGTTTTGTTCTTAAACTAAAGTCTTGTCTTTAATGCTATCCTCGTTAGGGCCTCTCAGGATGTAAATAATATGAAGACATTTGTCTTTTTTTTTTTTTTTTTTTTTTTTTTTTGAGACAAGGTCTTACTCGGTCACCTGGGCTAGAGGGCAGTGGTGTCACTGCAACCTTAAACTCCTGGGCTCAAGTGATCCTCTTGCCTCAGCCTCCTGAATAGCTGGGACTATGGGCATGTGCCACCATGCCTGGCTAATTTTTCTATTTTTTTGTAGAGACGGAGTCTCACTCTGGGCTAGTCTTGAACTCCTGGTCTCAAGTAATCATCCCGCCTTGGCCTCCCAAAGTGCTAAGATTACATGCGTGAGCCACCACCGTTCCCTGCTAACATGTGTCTTATGTTTAACTTTATGTGTATGTCCAAAGGAATATTATTGTAGAAACAGCTGGATTTAGAAAACCATTAGACTGAAAATAGGTGTCAGTGTATCCACTTTTATTTACAGGGAAAATTTATGGACTCTGGTTGAGGCCATACTTGATACAAGTATTTCTGTGGTTCTTACTGAGTCACATTTTAATACAGGTATCTTCACTTAGAGTCCTTGAATTTTCATCTATATTGATTGGGAAGACAATTACAAAGTTGCTAAGTGAGCTCAATGTAGAAGTATTCATTCTAGAATTTTATGTGAAGGAAGACTCTATTGCTCTACTTAGCCGTTCTTAAAATAAGGACTTTACAAAGGGTCTTATTTCTGGAGTGACCTGTATTTATTTCCCTTGGAATGTTGGTATTAAGAAAGAACTACTTAGGTTATAGAGAAATACATGGAAGCATAAAGACTTTATGAGACAATTGCTTTTTCTATCAAACTAATTACTTTTTCACTTATTTCAAAGCATTATTTGTCTTGACTCTGGTTTTGTGTGTACCAATTTTTCTAAACTTTTGTGATGTCATTCATTGCTACATTGCTACTAATGTATTTCATGTCTGCCCATTTACCTGGTTTTTGTTTTATTTGTTCTAAATGAGATTATTTTGAAAGGATCTTATCTTGGTTTCATTTAGTTATACAAAGGAAGACTGACAAAAATGACTTGTGTGCCTTGTAACCTTTCTGGGTAACTCCGTGAATGAATATACAAGAGTGCTGCTTTGGCACTAAATTCAGATTTAATCTGTTAGGGTGGCATTAGATCTGCTTTTTTAAGCTGGTTAACTTTTAGTGGTTTTTCATACAATGAAAAATTATTAACAAGTGGAGGATTTTAAGACACAACTCATTGTGACTGTCACATAGTCTGGACTGAACATGTTGTGAGATGGCTGCTATAGAAACCATAACTTCTACTTTATTCCTTTGGTAGGTGGAACAGTTGCAGCACACCCATGAGGAACACAGATTTTGTGTATGTGATTGTGTTGGCTCTTTTCTTAAGGAGAAGGGTGCAGTTATACTAGTGGTTGGCATTCTGTGGCATGTTTGCATGTAGGTGGTTTTCCATTGGTTGGGCTGGCTGCTACTCTAAGCCCTCCTTGCTTCCTGAAAAATCTTCATTGACTATCAGTGATGGTGGCTGGTAAATGTCTCTACCCTCACCATTCACAAGGCCAAACAGGCAGCACGCTTACCCAGCCTTCAACCTACCATATGAACTAAAACTTGTCAGGCCACTTTGAAAGGATTGCCAGTCCTGGTATATACCAAACTCTTTCTGAATTTGTTTTCTGCTATTGCTGAGAAGGTCAGAACCAGTTCTATCTGCTGATCTTTTAAAATTAGGAAAATACTAGACTTTGATGCTTAACCTGTGCATGTGATGTTGCTGTAATACTACTTTGGTCTCTAATTGTTTAGTTAGTGTTGTTTCATGTGCTTTGTTAGAGCAAATTAGAGCAAGCTTTTAAAACAAAATTGATCACTTTTATCTTGTTATGTAACTAACTAATCTTGACTGTATATAAATCTCACCCAAGTTTAGTATTTCTCTGGAGTCTTACGTAAACTTATTTTCATTATAAGAATGGATGTCCGGTCACCTGGCTTTTTAGTCCTAGTCTTAAGTGAAGGTATTAGTATCAGAATTTTGGAAACTAACCATTTTTTCTTTCCTATAGACCTCCACAATCTAAATTGCTTCGTGAAGATAAGAACCATAACATGTATGTTGCAGGATGTACAGAAGTAGAAGTGAAATCTACTGAGGAGGCTTTTGAAGTTTTCTGGAGAGGTTAGAAACAAAGCTAGAATTAGAAAAATATAAAATGATAAATATAACCCTGATGAGTTGCTACTGTAATTTGATAGCAATCTTTTTTGATTTATTAGAAAGTATGTATAATGAAATGATTGAGTTCAGGTTTGATCAATGATTTCTTTGTTGTCACAGGCCAAAAAAAGAGACGTATTGCAAACACCCATTTGAATCGTGAGTCCAGCCGTTCCCACAGTGTGTTCAACATTAAATTAGTTCAGGCTCCCTTAGATGCAGATGGAGACAATGTCTTACAGGTAAAGTTGTAGTGTGTATTTTCAGGTTCTAACTCAATCCTTAATTTTTGGAATTAGAGTTAAATTATAAGGACATTTTATTGCAGTGAAGATTTCTCTAGAATTAATGTACAGTCAGTTCTCTGTATCTGTGGGTTCTGCATCCATGGATTCAACCAACTAGGATAAAAAATATTCGTAAGAAAATATTACATCTGTACTAAATATGTACAGATTTTTTTCATGTCATTATTCCCTAAATAATACAGCATAACAACTCGTTACATAGCATTTACGTTGTATTAGATATTATAAGTAATCTAGAGATGACTTAAAGTATATGGGAGAATGTGCATTGGTTATGTACAAATACTACACCATTTTATATCAGGGACTTGAGCATCTGTGGATTTTGGTATCTGCAGGAGGTCCTGGAATCAGTCCCCCATGGATACTGAGGGTGATGACATGCAGGTGATGACATTTGAAAAATTTTTTTCTTCCATTAAATAGTGTAGTTTTGGGAATTTGGCTATTCACTCTTGGAACCTGGAATTTTGCTATGAAAAGAGTTTACAAATCTTTAAAAATTTCTTCAATAGAGGAGATAAGAAGAACATGTGATTTATTGTTTTATCTCTGATGACTCAATTTTGTATGTGGAAGTTTGGTTAATGGTTTTAATGTGTTGGCAATTCACTTTCCAACATAGGTATAGTTCAGGAGATAGGGCTGTACCTACCAGGCCAGTAGGGCTGTCCCTCAGCTGATCGCTATTTATAACTGAGTCTGTCATGGCTTATGTCAATTAGTAACAGCATTTGTGCCCGGAGTATACATAATTTAATAACTTTAAGATACAAAAGTATAATTGTATTCAAACCATATAAAATTGTGGCATTATGGAGGTTTATCGGTAGCAAGAGATGGGTGGTAGTGAAGATCACCAGGATTTGAATTCTGATTCCTGTATTTATTAGCCATACGACTTAACTATAATAGAACTTCCTTAAAGGTTATGAGAATTAAAGGAGGCAGTGCACATAAAGTTCTTAGTTCAGTGCTTGGCTTATAGTCAGCACTCAATAAATGTTCACTAGAAAATAATTATGTCAGCTTTCCATATACACTTGATTTCCTTTGAATCACATCTGCTACAATATCAGGTACCTCTTGACTTTTATTTCTTTTTATAAAAATTAGACTAGTATGAAATTACTAGGTTATTGTAAGATTATAAAATATTATAGAAAAATTTAGGATAGCCCTGGTCTAGGCTCTCTCTTTTCAGCTAATATTTGTTGAGTTTCTACTGAATGCTAGGCACTATGCATTATGCTGGAGATAACATAATCAAAAGGTAGATAGATCCACTATTCTCAGGGAGCTTACAGTCTGATGTAGAAGGAAGACTAGACAATAGACAAGTAATATAGTTAGTGTTATGAGTATATAGATATGTCTTTTGTTTTATTTTTGATGAATATATTGATCACACTCTTGTAGCAAACTCTCCCCAAAAACATGTATCCTTTGCCCCTCCTGTGCATTTTATATTGTGCAGATATATTCAGTAAGACTTAATAACTCATTGCTTTGACTCTACTTATAAAACATTGTAAACCAATTATAACTCATTGGGATTATTGGCTTTGTGATCTTTTCTTTAGGAAAAAGAGCAAATCACTATAAGCCAGTTGTCCTTGGTAGATCTTGCTGGAAGTGAAAGAACTAACCGGACCAGAGCAGAAGGGAACAGATTACGTGAAGCTGGTGAGTAAAGCATAGCACTTATTTATTGTTACAGCTTTCAGAAACTTCCATTGCCAGTTTTTTATCTACTTATCCATGGGTGGTTTAAACATAATTGTCTTCAGTTAGTTAATTTAGAGTTTACATTAATGGTCAATGCTATTTCTTTAGTTAGGCTGGTTTGTTATCTGTTACAAAACACTAATTTCTTGAACTGGTGGCCTAGAGTGATCCTCCTGCCTCAGCCTTCCAAAGTGCTGGGATTTCAGGTGAGCCACCATGCCTAGCCTAAAACACTGATTTAAAAATGAGGAAGATTGACAAAAATAAATATAAAATATAAGTTATATTTATATTGAAAGAGTCTGTTACATGTGTTGTTAGTATTGTAAGTCAGTATTGGATCTTTGAAATTGGGTCTTTGATTTAATAGTTATTCTAACATTCATAGTTGTAAAAATCGGCTTTTGGAGATGGGAAAAATCTGAATGCAAAAGCTAGTTGAAGGGAAATCTACGTGTGTGTGTGTGTGTGTGTGTGTTTAATCTTTCATTTAGTATAGCCATGCAAGTTGTATTTTATATTAATAACCATTTGCTGAGTACTTACTACTGTGTGCCAAGAATTGAACACAGATATGAAGGATGAAGCCCTGCTGGAGAGAACCCTGCTTAGTATAAGAGATCAGTAGATAACTAGACTGTTTGAGTGGAGTATGATGGAAGTGAGCTCAAAGTTCTGTGAGAGTGCAGGGTAGGGCTTTCTAATCAAGTCTGGGGGTGTAGAGGGGTGACACATAGTGAGCCGTATGGAGAAGGATAGGATTAAAGGCAACATCCCTGCTGGAGGAAACAGCTGCTTCTAAATAGAGCAAGTCCTGAGAGAATATGGCCGACTCAAAGTAGCTGAAGTGGAGGATGTAGGTTGGTGAACTGTGAGAACTGAAGTAGGAAAGTGAGGCAAGGTCATGAAGACCATTGTCTGTCATATTAAGAAGTTTGAATTTTATCTTGAAGGAATAATGATGGCTACCAATTATTAAGGTTCAAGTGTGTGTCATAGTATCTACTAGGTATTGGCTTGGTTTTTGATTCTGACTTCTCAGGATTGTATCATACCCTCATTTTTCAGATGAGGAAATGGGTTGGGAGAGGTTAAGTAATTTTCCCATGGCTGGAGCCTAGGTTCAAACCCAGGTTGGTTGGACTCTCAAAACTTTTATCTTTCTACTATGTTTTACACCCTCCTCCTTAAAGTTAAAGAAGGGTTAGTCTTTGAGAAAGAATATTTTGCCGGTGTAGAGAATTAATTTACCAGGGGTAAGCCTGGAGATATGAAAGAATAGTTAGGACCCTTTGGCAAGCAATTCAGATAAGCATTCATGTGACCTGGAGATGACGGTCAGACAAAAGGAAGAGCTAGTTAGGAAGTAGGTCCACCAGGATATGGAGAATAAAGAGCAGTCTGAGTAGCAGGTAGGGGTGGCTAATTAGGCTTGTGTTTGATATGTTCAGTTTATACAAGTAGACTTGCCTATGACTGAATGCAGAGGTACATGGATTTGGAATGAGAGAGATTTGACTTAAGGTTTCTAGTATTAGTTTTTGCCAATAGAGACAGGAGTGAAGCAATGGGGGAGATATGATTATTCCTGGAGAATAGAGAGGAATAAGAGAGCCTTAAGGAACAAGTCCTTGAGATTTAAGGAGTTTGGGAAGGAGAGAGAGGTGGTAGCTAAAAGGGACTTGAGGGAATATGAGATGATTAAAAAACACATACCCATTATATATGTATATAGAATATAGTGAAGACTTGAGTTTACTTATGGTCTGAAGAGATGAAGAAGTTGCAGTCCAGAGGTACAAAATGGGGCCTATTAGCCCTGGCTTTAGCCTGGGCTGAAAGACTCTTGCTACTTGTCTGAATCACTTGAGTCTTCTAAGTGTGGACTGTGTCTATGCTGTCTACCATTGTATCCCCAGTGCCTGTTATCAGGTGTTAATAAATATCAACGCAATGATTATTGGTGGAGCAAGATCCCAGAAGGGCAGGGGAATTTGGAATCCAGATCACAAGAGGAAGGATTAACCTTGATGGGATAAGAGTTTTAGCTGGATTGGGAAGAAAGTAAAAAACTTAGGTTTCTGATGCTTTGGGGAAAAGATATAAAGGACTGCTAGGGTTAATATGGGTAAGGACCACGTATGACAAGAGTGAGGAAGAAGCAAAAGAGATTGTGGTTGGGACAGATGACAGGTGTCAGGTTTTCAGAGGTGAAGTACTTCTGAGGGGAAATGTTTGGGGTTTCGGCATGATCGTGTAGCTACAATGGAGAGAGAAAGATTTACTGGAGTTGAGGACATGGGGGTCCTCTGACCACAGCATGTGAGAGTGATTGTCCTCATAATACCCAAATGACCCACGGGCTGGCATGTAGGAGGAACTAGGAAAATGTTGCTAGCCTCCCTGTGCTCACCACCCTTATGGAATGCTGGGCTTTAGGACATAAGTAGCTTTTACACTAAAAGGCTACAGGGCTGCAGGGGGAAGCACAATCCTTCTGTGAGATCAAGGTTTAGGTTGCAGGGTTTCGTGCCCTTGATGTAGGGTGAAGCCTATGGCCCCTGCCCACTGTGATATTTCTGAATGTAAACACAGAGGATTACAAAGGAAACCAATTATGTGTTTTTAAAAGTATTCTTAAATTTGTCATACAGTAATTTATGTGCTTTATTAATGCCTTAAATAAAAACCCAGCAGCAAGTCTAATAACTAATAATTTCAAAGTAATGATGAACATGAATGTCTTGATCAATAGACTGTAATATGCTATTAAAATATCTGCAATTTCTATTGATAAAAATCACAGGTTCTACTATAATACTACTGTGTTTTTGGCCTATGTTAGTAATTGAAGGAACCGCTTGTTTCTAGTTAGAGGTCTGTACAAACATGTATTTATTGCCCATTGAAGTATGTAGACTCCCTGAAATGTATCCCCGGACAACATAGACCTTGGGCTAAGAACCCCTGGCCATTAGGGAAAGAAATGAATGAATGGATCATTCTGTGAGAGGTTTGAAGATGTAGGTAAATTTGTTAACAAGAATATGAGTTCTTGAGAGCACAGTGGGAAAAGAAAGAATATCAGGATTTTGGGTCAAGGAAGAGAAATCATGAATCATGGAATATTATGGAGGTACACATGAGTTCTGTATTTTGGGAGGTGTATCTTTGGGAGGCCAAGGATGAAAGAACGATGAAGTTGGCTGACCTTAGTCAAGGTTCCGCAATGAACACATTCTTATGTACTTTTGGGGTCTAATTAGATGAGATCTGCATTCTTAGAGGCTTGGTTAACGTCAGACTTGCCTTGGCTCAGAAATTCAAATAAAAATACTCAGAGTTAACAGCGATACCGCCTAAGAAATCTTTGTTGAGATATACAGGGATTAGAGTAAGTTAGTTCCCAAGACACTTGACTGCTATTAATAGAAACAGTAGGAGCTCCTCTGGGTGCTGCAGGGATTTCAGACTCTTAATGGAGCCAACTAAAAGCCCGAAATGGCCATGGTTTAGACAAAACACGTTAATATGATATTAAACATCTGTATCTAAAATACTCTTTCACAGAATTTAGGATTTGGAAGAAACCTTATGGGTCATTAAGTATAATGTTACATTCTGTGGAAAATCCTTTTGATCCTTCAAGGATGGCTGTTTAACCTTTCCAGAAATGCTGCTGTTGAAAGAAAGCCTGGGCCAAGATTAAATTTAGCCGTGAAAATTTGTTATAATTTCATCTAATGGTTATATGAAGTTGAGATTTTATAGGCAGACATCACGCTTTAGTTACTATATTGTTGTTCTCATATTTTCTGTGTGTATTTTTCTGTCAGGTAACATTAATCAGTCATTAATGACACTGCGAACATGTATGGATGTCCTGAGAGAGAACCAAATGTATGGAACTAACAAGGTAAAAACAGTAGCCTTTTTAAATCATTTTTATAGTTTTGTTTGTGTGTAATTTTTGCCTTATGCATTTATTTGGATTTCCATGTATTTATAGATGGTTCCCTATCGAGATTCAAAGTTAACCCATCTGTTCAAGAACTACTTTGACGGGGAAGGCAAAGTGCGTATGATTGTGTGTGTAAATCCAAAGGCTGAGGATTATGAAGAAAGCTTGGTAATTTTAATTTATTTATCCTATAAATTTTAATTTATTTATCCTATAAAGTCTTGAGTTTCTGTAAGGAAAGCAACTTTTTGGATTTGAGGAAAGACACTTGGAACATTTTATAAATTGACACAAAATCATTGTATACAGAAGTAGACTAATAACCAGGCTATCATTGCTTCACTTAGTAATTTCTGAAGGACTTAGATATCCTTATTTTTTAAAAATTCCATTTGTTTTGTATTTTAGCAAGTCATGAGATTTGCAGAAGTAACCCAAGAAGTTGAAGTAGCAAGACCAGTAGACAAGGCAATATGTGGTTTAACACCTGGGAGGCGATATAGAAACCAGGCTCGAGGTCCAGTTGGAGATGGTATGATTTACTGTTACATCATTTCCCTACTGGTCTATCTCTCTTAAAAAAAAAATCTGTTTCATACAAGAGAACTGTTTACATACCTTTTCCTCAAGAACCAAGTTCAAAAAAATATGAACCAAAATATGGATGAGATTTCTTTTGTTGTATACTACAACTCTCATTTTGAAGGAAATAAAATGTCAACTCAAGAAATCCCATGGTTAAATAAACTGAAGCTCTAATCACATTGTTAAAGTTGTTTAAATAAGCTCTTTCTCTCCTGTCTAACTTTTTATAATTTTTATAATTTCAATACAGAACCATTGGTTACCGACATGGTTTTACAGAGTTTTCCACCTTTGCCATCGTGTGAAATTTTGGATATCAATGATGAGCATACACTTCCAAAGCTGATTGAAGCCTTAGAAAAACGACATCAGCTACGACAAATGATGATTGATGAGTTTAATAAGCAATGTAAGGGCAAAATTATTTGCAGTCATTTTAACTTCTGAAATTGAAAGTATTTGCAATGAATTTGAGTTCCAAGGTAGGATGTATTTTTAAGGGAGAGTTATCTTTATACTTTGAAGTACTCAAGACATTGTTTAATTAGAATGACAGAATTTTTCTCACAGCTCTTTTTTTTATATTCCAGGAAAATCAAAAAAGGGAGCATTGTGTTCCTTCCCTCTTATTTCTTCCTTTAATAATAGTGATGAACATGAAGGAATATTTCTTAGTTTCCCTGTCTACAAAATGGGGGTTGTAATTATTTCTACCTCAGGGGGTATTATGAAGATAAATGAGATAATGTATGAAAATCCTGTAGAACAGTGAACAGACTGGTACATAGTAAGTGAATGTATCCCAGTGAATGTATCTATTATTTTTATCATTGGTTCACTTTGTTCTTCACCATAAAGTTGTGAGATAAAGAGGTATTTAAATTTCCATATTAAAATGAAATTTACCGGCTGGGCGAGGTGGTGGCTCACACCTGTAATCCTAGCACTCTGGGAGGCTGAGGCGGGAGGATCGATCAAGGTCAGGAGTTTGAAACCAGCCTGAATGAGAGCGAGACCCTGTCTTTACTAAAAATGGCAAGAAATTAATTGACCAACTAAAAATATATATAGAAAAAATTAGCCAGGCATGGTGGCCCATGCCTGTAGCCCCAGCTACTTGGGAGGCTGAGGCAGCAGCATTGCTTGGACCTAGGAGTTTGAGGTTGCTGTGAGCTAGGTTAACACCACGGAACTCTAGTCTGGGCAATAGAATGAGACTCTGACTCAAAAAAAAAATGAAATTTGCTTAGGAAAATTAAGTAACTTGCCTAAGTCATAACTAATAAGTGGTATACCAGGGATTTCAGCAAATCCTAAATCTAGTGTTATATTTTTGCTTTTGTTGATATGAAGCAAATTATTTACCTCTAAGAGTTGGGAAGAGATGCTCTAGTGTAAAATGAAAAACTTGAGTGTCTTTTTAGTATTAAATAGAGAGCTTCTATGAGTATAGTATCTCTTGTAGGTTTGAGAGTCAAACTCCTAATTTCCCTCCAGACTTGTTTTCTCACTATAAACTGATTCTCAGAGATTTGCTGTAGCTACATTTTATTTATTCTTTTTAAAAATTTATTATATTTTTGAATAGCTGTCTTTTATCTAGTGTCTGCTAATAGGAGTTGCTTTCATTGGTTATTTTGGAATTGGAGTAAAATTTGACCTGCATGCTTTTGTTTCAGCTAATGCTTTTAAAGCTTTGTTACAAGGATTTGACAGTGCTGTTTTAAGTAAAGAAAACTACATTCAAGGAAAACTAAATGAAAAAGAAAAGTTGATCTCAGGACAGAAATTGGAAATAGAACGACTGGAAAAGAAAAACAAAACTTTAGAATATAAGGTGTGTACATAATGAATGTATGTGCTGGCCATTTAGCACTGATCTCTGAGTGAGTTGTTCTGCTCCATGGGCCTGTAACCGCTGCTTATTAAGAGTTCTTGGTGGGGCCTGTGGAGGAGGTAAAAAAAAAAACGAGTTCTCACTTTGTTATTAGTACTAATCTTCATCCCACCTCAAAGAGGAGGAAATGTGAGTGAAAAGCATAAAAGGGATAATATATTCTTTAATTTTATGAGAGTTTAGTGGTTGAAAAAATATTCTCTGGCCCAAGCAAGGGAGCTTTCTAGAGGATTTTCTAGGGTTTAGCTTTGGTTATAGCTTGCTTTTGATTATAGCTTGCTATTTTGATTATATTTATTAGAAATATTTCCTCAGGGGGGGCAGGGAAAAGAGAGAAAGAAAAAAATATTTGCTCAGTATACGTTCTCTTCAATAATCACATGAAAGAAATGATTAAATGAGATAGACATAACAGATACTCGGTAAATCTTAATTGGATCCATATTTGGTTTACAAATTGTAAACAAAAACAAACTGAGGATTAAACTCTTCCTTTGAGGTAGAAGGAAATACTGTTTTGTTGGGGACTACTGCTGCAGCACTGTATAATATGTTCTCTTATTTACAGAGGATTGTTTAGAGGTTTGGCAGGGTATACATTCATTCTAAAGAGAAGCTAGTCTCAACCAACACTGTTTTGTTTATTCTAAAAAATAAAAAAATTATGTTTCAGGCCTTAATTTTAAGAGAAAGTAATTTTTCACAGGAAGTTAGTTACAACTTTGTCTCTGGGTTAGGAACTTATTTAACAGGTTTCTATTTCTGGGAATGGAAGTGGGAATTCAGATGAAATTTTAGAGGAAAAATATTCTTTTTCCGTGACTTTTATTTCCACAGATAAGCTTAGATAAGCAAATTAAGAAAGATTGTTTTATAGCTACATGAAATATTTACATGCCAAGTAGTGAACATAATGGTCTACCTTCCCAGATCGAGATTTTAGAGAAAACAACCACTATCTATGAAGAAGATAAACGCAATCTGCAACAGGAACTTGAAACCCAGAATCAGAAACTTCAGCGACAATTTTCTGACAAACGCAGATTAGAAGCCAGGTTGCAAGGCATGGTAACAGAAACAACAATGAAATGGGAGAAAGAATGCGTGAGTGTCATTCTTGTAGTGCGTCTCAGAGTTGGGTGATTTACTTCATGTTGTAGTTAGGTTAAATATTTTAAATTACTGTATTTGTGGTAGGTTTTTGGTGGTGGTAGTTAACCCTCAGGAAGAACTGGAAAACTCATTGTTAGGAAATAAAGTGACTGGGTAGTCTGGTGTACTTGTTTGCTATGACTGAGTTAGAATATAAATTGCCATTGATAATCTGTAGGAGCGTAGAGTGGCAGCCAAACAACTAGAGATGCAGAATAAACTCTGGGTCAAAGATGAAAAACTGAAACAACTGAAGGCTATTGTTACTGAACCCAAAACGGAAAAGCCAGAGAGACCCTCTCGGGAGCGAGATCGAGAAAAAGTTACTCAAAGATCTGTTTCTCCATCGCCAGTTCCTGTAAGTTATTCACAGTTGTGCATTCATTTCATACTAGAGGAAATTTGTTCAGATTAGATGACTGTTTCTATGATAATCAGTTTTTTGTTTTATATTACTTATTATATTTCTGAAATTTCTCTTTAAGAATATTTTTTCCTGAGATACTTTACTTGAAAAAAATTTTTTTTAATTTAGTATAAATACAAATTTAGCATAAAAATTTAGTAATTTAGTACAAATAATTATTTATAATGTTAAATCTTGATGTGCTAAAATTATAAAACAGTAATGAATTGTTTCTGTCAGTTTTTCAGTCTTGCTCATTAATTTCTCTCAATTTTTCTAGCTTTCTAGTAACTATATTGCTCAGATTTCCAACGGCCAGCAACTCATGAGCCAGCCACAGCTACATAGGCGCTCTAACTCTTGCAGCAGCATTTCTGTAGCTTCCTGTATTTCGGAATGGGAGCAGAAAATTCCTTCGTACAACACACCTCTCAATGTCACATCTATTGCAAGGCGTAGGCAGCAGGAGCCAGGACAAAGTAAAACTTGTATCGTGTCAGACAGAAGGCGAGGGATGTACTGGACTGAAGGCAGGGAGGTGGTTCCTACATTCAGAAATGAGATAGAAATAGAAGAGGATCCTTGCTGCAGGGTTAGTGCCAGTATTATTTTAAAGCATTGTAGCAGTAGATTTTATCTTCTTTGTTTTTTATAACTTGGTTCCGAAAATTCAATGGAAAGATAGGTGGGCTCCAATATGTATAAATAAGGTCTAACTTTTCTGTAAGTTAATTTGAAAGATGGACTCATTCTGAAATTGAGGTCTCGCTCTTCATCTGAAAAAGCCTAAAAGCATCTGGCAATAAGCGATGCCTGTGTGTTCAATGAACACGGGTCAATTTGGCATAGCCCAGAGTAGTCTGTGCTTTTCAGTTGGATAAACTAATGAACTGTGCACAAAATTGGTGAACCTTAGTACCTTGGCACACACTTTCCATTTTTTTTTTTTATTTTGGTTCCCCTTCCCCATGTTAGATTTTTTTGCTGCTGCTTTTGAACCCTAGTTTTTAAAATTTTCTCAAACATTTATTTTGAAAAATTTTATACCCAAAGAGGAGATCAAAGAATGGTATGGTAATATCTTTTCCCTGACTTAGATTTATCAATTGTTACTTTATGTAGATACGTAAACATTTTTCCCCTTGAACCTTGTGGAAAGTAAGTCATAGACTTCCCAACACTTCATCCCCAAGAATAAGGACATCGTCCTACATAACTGCAATCTTTATCACACCTAAGAAAGTTAACATTAATTGAATAAATATCCTCTACTGGGACAATATCCAGTTGTCCCACTAATGGCTCTTTCTTTTGCAATCCATGGTACTATCAAAATGTAATGCATTGCATGTGGCAACTATGTCTCTTTAACCTCTTTTAACCCCCACCCCAACACATTTTTTTATTTTTATGACATTGACTGTTTTGAAGAGTCCAGGTCAGTTGTTTTCAAACTACTGAAGATTTTCATTTCCAATAAATCACTTTTATTTTTGAGGATTTATCTCAGTTTATAAGGGCTTTGCCTCATTCAGAGGTATTTAAATTCACTTTAATATTTTTCTTCTTAAGGATTAAGGTAAAGTTTCTTTTGAATCTAAATAAATGAACCAAGTTAATATTGTGGTTTTTATACTTAGTAAAATTAACATAGCTCTTTTAGAATTTTTCTTCTAAATAATTAATCTTACAGTAAATATTTGCTTTAGATTTTCTTGTATAATTTAGGGTATAGATGAATGTTCATGTAGGTGGCCCAAATTCCTGATTATTAAGGGATGGTGATGCATCCCAAAGTATGTACCAAGGCAACATGATTCTAGAGTCTCCTAAGTTCTTTACTTTGTAGATTTTGCCTTAAACCTTTTTAGGGAGCAAATTATGGTGAATGGTCTTTCTGATCAACTCTAGTCAATCATCTTATTTCTTGAAAGTTTATAGACTGAAAACCATTCAAGGCCTGCTTGTGCCTTGCCAACAGTAATGTATCTAATTTGGCTATGAGATATTTAAGAGGATTTACTAGAGATATTTTTTTTCCGAACTTCTTACTTGAAATCAAAATCTCTTTAGAAGTGCAGCAGAAAAGTTACCATAAGGTTAGTATCTATGTATCTAAGTTTGTTGGTCAAAAATTATGTCAGGTGGACTGAATTTATATTTCAGTAAGGAAAAAAACTTTAAATATTTATTTCATAAATGCTAGTAGATTGTACAGACTCATCTTTCTGAAGCTTGTTTTATCAAGCTTTGGATTTGTATTTATTGCTAAATGTGTTGAAGGAAACTCTCACTTTTGCTAAAGGATAGATGATAAAGGCCAGACTTTCCTTCTTGTTCAACGTCAATTAAACCATTTTAAAAATGGAAAGTTTGCTGCTTGTTTTGAGGGTCAGCATCCTTAGTGGCAAACTGCATTGCCTAGATAGGGAGAATGATTTGGTTCCTCAGGTTTACATTTTGAAATTGGGATCTTTATATTTGATCAGTGTTGAAGGATTTGGCCTGTGACATGCTTTTTTTCATTTGCTTTCAGTTTTATACACACGGGAGATGTTTACAAAATGCCAACGATAACACATTGCTTCAAACAATTATGACATGTATATGAAATATTTTTTCTTAGGCTTACTATGCTAAATTTCACTTTCCAATTTACATGACATTTGACTGGAAGTGACTAGTTTTTTTTTTTTTTTATTGGGGTTTGTTTTGCCCTTTTTTTTTTTTTTTGTTTTTTGGACCTTTTTTAATTTTTTGTTAAAAAATTTGTTGGCATATTTTAGCCATTGTTGTATTTGAACTTTTAATGAAGGTCTCTTTTGAGATTTAAAAATCTTATAGTAAAAGGACTCAGAAGTACTTTACATTTCTTTAAGTCATTTTCTACATAGAGTTCTTATACCTTATGTTCTGTGGCATTTTGTACTATATAGCTTCATCAGCTTTTATTAATTTTTGATCTCTTTGTATAAGGAGTGTTTTCTCTTTTGTTTAGAGGCCTAGACATGTTTAAGGCTCTTACTGAAGCTTTTAACAGAGTTGTGGACTTAATAGATTACCTCATAATATCAGACATAAATACTGATTTTTGATCAAGAATGTAAAATGCATTATTTGTAGTGAACCGTCCCTTAAGCAGGAAAGTCTAGCAGCATTACCAGAATTTCTCCTTTCATTCTTTGTTCAAAGGGAAGATCCCAGGTAGAACTTATAATATACAAGATAGTGTTAAAGATGTTTGTTGGTTTTGTTTTTAAATATGAAGAGAATGTTTAAATTATTTGAAGAACTATTTAGCTTTGAAATGGATTGTTTTGATACTATCATCAAGTAACGTAGCCAAACCTGCTGCACTTCTAATAATACCCTTAAATTAATTCTGGGTTATGCTTGTTTCTCAATTCCTCTTTCAACCTGATCAGAACGTACCACCAATTCGTCTCCGACACAGACGATCACGCTCTGCGGGAGACAGATGGGTAGATCATAAGCCTGCCTCTAACGTGCAAACTGAAACAGTCATGCAGCCACATGTCCCTCATGCCATCACAGTATCTGTTGCAAATGAAAAGGCACTAGCTAAGTGTGAGAAGTACATGCTGACCCACCAGGAACTAGCCTCCGATGGGGAGATTGAAACTAAACTAATTAAGGTAAAAACTAATTTGCAAGGAGAAAAAAATATATTAAAAAATCAACTAAATAAAAAACCATTTGCCCTGCTACTTTGATGACAAACATGCAGTGTCAACTGGAACATCAGTGGGTATTTAATGTAATCTTTTTGTTAGCAGAAAATTAATGTAACTGCTTAGGTGTGAATCTGCTAAAGGGGAACTAAATCAGCTTAAATAGGCATAGAGTCTTGGGTTACTTAGAACTCCAGATCCATAATGTACTTTACTGTATATTTAGTTTTAACCACTACTTAAAAAGTAAGCCTAAACAAAGAACTACCACCTTTGTTCTCTGTCACTTCAAGATAAAAAGTCTACATTAAAATTTGGCCTATCAAAATCATTCAGTATTGGGCTATCTAAAACCCTTTCCCAGAAAGATGACTTGCCTGCCTGTAGAATAATTTTCCTTTAATCATAGAGTCAATGAATAATTGGGAAATAAAAGATAAAATCTTTTCATTTCAAATTTAATTTAGAGGATAGTTCTTATTATAATTATAGCTACAGATAAGACTGTACTATCTTTTGAACATTAGGGAATGCTCAGAGAAGAAAGAACAATGCCTTAGAACATGTAGAAATTTCTGGCAGATTTCTTGATCCTTAGGGCAGTTTAATTTTTAAATTACAGGTGGGACAAAAAAGAATATTTTTTTCCCATAATTATGAATGTTACTAATTACATTGTATTGGACTTTTCTTTAGTGAGAGATATGTGTTCATATTTCTAAAGTATTTTGATAGTACAGACTCAGTAGTTCCAAGTACCATCTGGTTTTGTGGGTGGGAGTTACCATAAAACAGTAGACTCTTGAGATCAATTTGAAATATGATATGTGTATTTGTCATTTGGATGTATCAAAGTGTAACAGTGACCTTTTCTCTTGGCTTTAGGGTGATGTTTACAAAACAAGGGGTGGTGGACAATCTGTTCAGTTTACTGATATTGAGACTTTAAAGCAGGAATCACCAAGTGGGTGAGTAAGCATCAAAGACATCTCTCTTTAAAGGGTTGTTGTTTTCCTAGCTGCTCATTCTTGAGGAACAGAATATCCTGTGACATTTGTCATTAATTCTCCAAAGGGGTATAGACGGTATTTCCCTATTTTTAATATTTTTCCTGTTCTTAGATGCAAAAATAATTGTTGCATCATGTTTCCCCCTTTTCAGTAGTCGAAAACGAAGATCTTCCACAGTAGTACCTGCCCAGCCAGATGGCACAGAGTCTGAATGGACCGATGTAGAAACAAGGGTAGGGGAAAAATTAAATATTTGTCTGCTTAATAAAAATTAGGCATCTCTTATCTTAAACCACATAGCTGTAGCTTTTTAAGCTCTTTAAAGATGCTGAGGTACTATGTCACATGGCCAGCGCAGCATGTAGGCCTGTTCATAGCAAACATGCAAAGGTATTCTTTAGGTGTGGTCTTATTGGAGCACTTCAATTCAAAGCCTGTTTTCGGTGTAGAGGAATAGGGCTCAAGAACGAGTCAGAGAGTATCACTCTAGAATAACATGAATTCACATCAACTTGATGGGAATCTTCTTAGGAGCAGCTCACCAGGAATTCCCTTGCAACTGTTACTCTTAAGAAGAGGGTCATATGGAAAAACATGAGAAGGTGGGGGTTAAGGAGGCTCAGCTCTGGCCCTGACCACTAACTTTCTCAGGAACTTCTCTTCCTTAATTAAGGTAAAAGAAGTTACCTAGATGACCTCTAAAGATCCTCTTGGCTCACATTTGTGGCCTATGCCAGAAGAAATTGCGAGTAACTGGTGTTTTAATATAGGTGTCTTCGTTGTACTAGAAAGCAATGTTGGATTTCATCTAGGTAGAGCTATATGTAAACAACTGTGTTTTATAGATTTTTGAGAGGAGCTGATCTTTTCCTCTTCTGTCATTTTCCTCTCAGTGTTCCGTGGCTGTGGAGATGAGAGCAGGATCTCAGCTGGGACCTGGATATCAGCATCATGCACAACCCAAGTAAGCACTGAATGTAACTGGGGCCTTGCTGTCTGTGTATGTTTTCCCTTCTCTAGCGGCTCCACCATCAGCCCTTCTCCCAACCATCCATTTGTTTTTAAGAGCAAACATAGTTTTCATTTTCCCTTTGGAATATCTGGGCCCTAGTGGCAGACTGCAGTAGGCAGCTGCAGTGCTGAGAGCCTTGGAGCTGCAAGGACAGGAGGTGATAGAAGATTGGTGGCTCTTGTTCATATTCTGCCAATGCTCGAAAGCTTTTGGAAGCTGCACTGAGAGTACCTGTAGAGATGGAAGGCTGAAGGCATTAGTTGGGGATGATGATAGTTTGTGTAATTCATTCTTTCCTGACTTGCTTCTTGGTTTTGGTATAGCAATAAGTATTCACTAAAGTAAATAAAACCAAATGGCAGAATTTATATTAGGGAAGGAGTCACATCTTTTCCTCTTCTATTAAACCCATATGCAGGTCTGACCCATTCTTTTTCCATATTTTAATAAAACTCCTACTTTACAAGTATCTACATATACAATATTTTTAGCACTTGTATTCCTTAGTAAACAATTTGGAAAATTGTTGTAACAGGATAAAGATGTGAAGTCTGTTTAAATTAAATCTAAATTTAATACTAGATAAGCATATTTTATAACAGTTATTTGCTTTCTCAGAAGGACTTGAATTTTCTCATGATCAAACAGCAATTCTCAAAGCCCTCCTAAAGATTCATTTGCTATGAATATGTCACTAATTGCAAGATTCAACACTAAATTTTGGTTCTTATGTTTAGGCGCAAGAAGCCATAAACTGATAGTCCCTGGAGTGAAAGAACATTTTCATTTGTGTGAGTGATTTCTCCAAAGCCATGCCAGAAGCAACCTTCTAAGCCATCTTATAGAACTCCAGCTTTGGTGAACATCACAGACCTCAGCTACGTCATACACTGGCCTAGGTCAAAGCTTCCCCTATGGTTCCAAAGACATCTAGAATTCAACACACTTTGTATAATATATACCTTGCTGTATTTAATATTAATAGCAGAGAAAGACCCCTTTTTTCATTGCTATATGAACTTTTTTATAATGCTTTTTTTTTTGTATATTTCTTGTATACTTATAAACTAATTCATGAAAGTGTTCATCTTAGGTGATTAAGGAAGGATATATCTAGATCACGCTTTATTTTTTATTGTGACTTTTCCAGCTCTGGTCTGAATATTTCTTAAGGTTTTAATAACAAATGCTGCTATTGATTAGCTGCAGGAATGCACTTTAGACCTACTTGACAATTCAAACTTTAAAATAAAGATGTCAGTGACTGGCCAACAATAAAACCATTTTAGGATATTATTTTGAATTTTGTATGTATATATTCACTTTCTGACATTTAGATATGCCAAAAGAATTGAAATAAAAAGCACTAAGAAATACAAAGTTGTGTGATGGCCATTCATTCAACACATACTCCCAGTACCTAGCATAGTGTGTTGCATTTACCTGGCACTCATTATTTGTGGGATGAATTAAAAGAAAGCACTAGAAAATATAAAGTAATTTGATGTTAAATGGACAATGCCCATTTTTTTTGTTTTTGTTTTTTGAGACAGAGTCTCGCTTTGTTGCCCATGGCATCAGCCTAGGTCACGGCAACCTCAAACTCCTGGGTCCAAGCAATGCTGCTGCCTCAGCCTCCCAAGTAGCTGGGACTACAGGCATGCACCACCATGCCCGGCTAATTTTTTCTATATATATTAGTTGGCCAATTAATTTCTTTCTATTTATAGTAGAGACGGGGTCTTGCTCTTGCTCAGGCTGGTTTCAAACTCCTGACCTTGAGCAATCTGCCTGCCTCGGCCTCCCAGAGTGCTAGGATTATAGGTGTGAGCCACCTCGCCCAGCCAGACAATGCCCATTTTTGTGTGACATAATATCTACATAGTAAGTATGCTTTTCAAGACATTTAAAAATACATGATTTGGAGACAACATAAATTAGAAGAAGTACTATTGAAAGTCATGGTGAAATATCCATTCTTGCATGGGCGAAGATACATTTTGCTCTGATTAAATTTGGGTTTCTTTTGAGGCTGGACTTTTCTCTTTTAACTAAAATGATAGTTTAATCTGTTTGTTTATAATAAAGGAATGATATTAGTCCTTGCCAAAAGCTAATTCAAAGGTTAAGGAAAAAGACAAAATCCACTTTGTCAGTCATAGTATATTAATGCAGTATGTGTGTTTTTAGAATGCTTCAGAGCAATCCTATCTCATGCTACAGAATTTGATCTTGATTGTTTTTTAAATAGCTTATTGCTTAGTCTTTTGAAGATACATTTTAATAGGAAATGTTTACTGTACTATAATAGGGAATTATGGGGGAGTTGAATTTGTCTGAAGTAATAGTATTTTGAATCCACTAAGTTCTTTGACAACACAAAATAAAGGGAAATGCTTGGGCAGTTGATGTTTTGTTTACCTAGTTCTCTTAATTATGAGGAATAACTATGGTTAGTTGGATGCTCACTGTCTGATACCCTCTAAAGCAGGGGTCCTCAAACTTTAAAACAGGGTGCCAGTTCACTGTCCCTCAGACCGTTGGAGGGCCGGACTATAGTTTAAAAAAAACTATGAACAAATTCCTATGCACACTGCACATATCTTATTTTGAAGTAAAGAAACAAATGGGCAAAAACACCCACATGCCTGCTCTAAAGGTATTATCTATAATTTAAAGGTGGGAAATTGAGTTATTTGCTCAATGACCCCAAAGTCTGTTCATTTAAGCCCAAGTCTCATATCAAAGCTTTTAACTATTGTACCATGCTAATGATTATCTCATCTTGATTAAAAATTTCTTAGCTTTAGATGATTAATTTTAATTGAAAGTTTGTTTTGCAAAATAGGATACTTTGTTCAGATCATTATACCTAGGTTATTTAGTGTTTTTGTGCCCAAACATTTTAATAATTATCTGATTTGTACAACCCAGAGGCAAACAGCAGTTAAGGAAATGGGCTCAGAGGAGGGCAGTGCTCCCAGAATGGTCACATAGTCAGGATGGAGCTGAGGTTGATTGGATTCCTTGTTCTACTAGTTTGTATCACTCAATCTTGTTTCTAAAGGCTGGGTGCAGTGGCTCACACTTGTTATCCCAGTTCTCTGGGAGGCTGAGGTAGAAGGATCATATGAGGCCAGTAGACCAGCCAACATAAGATACTCTGTCTCTGCCCCCCCCCCCAAAAAAAATTAGCTGGGTATTGGTGGCATGTGCTTGTAATCCCAGCTACTTGGGAGGCTGAAGAAGGAGCATCACTTGAGTGCAGGAGTTTGAGGTTGCAGTGAACTGTGATGGAGCCACTGCACTCCAGCCTAGGTGACAGAGTGAGACCCTATATCTAAAAATATATATATTTTTAAAGTTTTGTCTTTGGCATATTGAGATGTCACAGTTCACTGCTTTGTTATTCCATGCTTCCATCCTCATCCTTGTGAGAGTGTTTCCAATTTTCCTTATATACATGGTGCTGCAGGGAACATCCTCCACTTGGACCCTCATGTACATATTCCAGAGTGTCTCTAGGGTAGAAACCAGAACTGGAATTGCTGGGTTTAGGCTGTGTATATCTTCAATTTTAACCAGGTTTTGCTAATTTGCTCTTCAAGTGATTTGCCAACTTATATTTCTACTAGCAACATGAAATAGTTGATTCCTCATATCCTCTTCTACACTTGGTGTCATCAGACTTATTTTGCCAATCGTGTGAAATGGTATCTCATTGATTTAATTCATATTTCCTGATTATCAGTCATGAGCTGAATATCTTTTCCTGTCTCAGGTGGCCAGTCTGGTTTCCTCCTTTGAATTGTCTGTCTGTATATTTGCATTGTAACTGGTTGCTAGTCTTTTTCTTTTTGGTGTGTAGGCCTTCTTTATTCTTTGAGTATTTTGAGCTTCATATCTTCTGGTCTATGACTTTTTTTCATTTTGGGTATGGCATTTTTTAAAAATAAACTTAATTTTTAAAACAGTTTTAGATTTACAAAAAAACTGTGAGGAATAGTATAGAGAGTTCCCATATACCCTGCAGCTCGTTTACCCTATTAGCAACCTATTAGTATGGTACATTTGTTATAATTAACCAATATTAATATATGTTGTTAACAAAAGTACATACTTATTCAGATTCCTTAGTTTTTACCTAATGTCTTTTCTCTTCCAGGGTCCCATGTCATTGTGTCTCCTTAGGATTCTCTTGGCTGTGGCAGTTTCTCAGACTTTGATTATATCTTTTGTCTTGCAGATTTCAATTTTAATGTAATCAAACATCAATCTTTTCCTTTATGTTTTATGCCTTAAAAGATTTTTCTATGCTATGCTAGGCACAGTGGTACATGCCTGTAGTAGTCCCAGCTACTGAGGCTGGCGGATTACTTGAGCATAGTAGTTCGAATCCAGCCTGGGTAACATAGCAAGACCCCTGTTTCTCTCAAAAGAAAAATTTTTTTTCCCATACTCTGATGTCATAATATTCTCCTGTGTTTTCTTCTAAACTTTTAGAGTTTTGCTTTTCACATTATGTATGGTGTTAGGAAAGAATTAAAAACATTCTTTCCCCACCCCCATCCCCATAGCACTACAAAACCAATTGTTCCAGTACAGTTTTTTTTTAAAAGATACTCTCCTTGCATTTTGCAAAGCTATACTTCTGACATTACCAAGTTCCCAAATGTATGAGAATATTTTCTGGTTCAGTGTTCTGTTCTGCCCGTCTATTTAAGTATATGCCAATAAGCACACTTTAAAATACCCATCCAGTATGTATGTATTCGTGTGGCTTCTATGTGATAGGCACTGTTGGGGGCGCAAGGAATACTGGATAAATCAAAATTTGTACCCTCAATGGAACTTGTATCTAAATCTTCCTTTATTACTTTAAAAAATTGTCTTGTTTGGTCTTTGATCCTTCAATTTAAGTCAGCTTGTCAAATTCCATTTTACTGTAGTTTTGATTAAAATGGTATATTTGGAGAGAATTATCCACTTAAGAATCTTCCCATTTATGAATATGGGATGTCACTATTAAGGTTGCCCTTAATTGTGTTCCATAAAAATAATGGTCATACACATCTTGTTAGACTTATTTCTTAGAAACCATGTTGTTTTTGTTGGTATTGTATGATATATTTTTTAATATTGCATTTTATAAGTGACTGTGGCTGAGTATAGGATGCTGCTGGGTTTTGTTTTTTTTGTGTTTTTTTTTGAGACAGAGTTTCACTTTGTTGCCCCGGCTAGAGTGAGTGCTGTGGCGTCAGTCTAGCTCACAGCAACCTCAATGTCCTGGGCTCAAGCGATCCTCCTACCTCAGCCTCCTGAGTAGCTGGGACTACAAGCATACGCCACCATGCCTGGCTAATTTTTTCTGTATATATTAGTCGGCCAATTAATTTCTTTCTATTTATAGTAGAGACAGGGTCTCACTCTTGCTCAGGCTGGTTTCGAACTCCTGACCTTGAGCAATCTGCCCGTCTCGGCCTCCCAGAGTGCTAGGATTACAGGCGTGAGCCACCGTGCCCGGCCAAGGGGTTTTGTATATTAATCTTGAATCTAGAGCTGGAGCAGTGGCTCATGCCTGTAATCCTAGCACTCTTGTAGGCTGTGGCAGGAGGACTGCTTGAGGCCAGGAGTTTGAGACCAGCCTGAAGAAGAGTGAGGCCTACAGAAAACAGAAAAATCAGCCAGGCATAGTGCTGGGCACCTGTAGTCCCAGCTACTGGGGAGGCTGAGGCAGGATTGCTTGAGCCCAGGAGTTTGAGGTTGCAGTGATCTATAATCATCCCACTGCATTCTCACCAGGGTTACAGAGTGAGACCCTGTCTCAAAGCAACAACCAAAAAACAACAAAAACCAAAAAATCTTGAATCTGGAAACCTTGCTGAACTCATTAGTTTGAATTGTTTGTCTATGGATTCTCTTGGAATTTCTGGGCAAATAATCATATTACCTATGAATAATGAATTCATATCTTTCTAATACTTTTGTTTTACAGAGATGGCTAAACTCTAAAATATTTAATAGTAATTGAAACAGAAGCAGAGAGAGGAGGCATCCTTATTCCTGATTTTAAAAAGAATGTTTCAAAAATTTCACCAAGTATGAAGTTTGCTATAGATTTTTGGTAGATATCCTTTGTCACGATATGGAAGTTACCTTCTATTCCAGCTTTCTAAGAGTCTATGTGATTAGTTCAATTTTATCAAGTTTTTTTTGGATCTATAAGAATTCTATATAGATTTTCCTCTTAATGTAATGAGTTATTTTTACATGTTATCATGAGGAAAATCCTCTAAATTATGATACATTTTTATATACAGTTCTAGATTAAGTTTATTAATATTTTGGATTTTTGTGGTACATAGATGAGAAAAGC